ACATTTTTTTGGAACCTGTGAGATTTTTTCAGGATTCTTTGATGAAGCCTTAAGACACACCCCCAACCTATAGACCACGCCCTCATACACTCCCTCAACATATAAAGCCTTGCCCAATACCTCTAGAGTCTAGACTCTGCCTTAAGACACACCCCCAACCTATAGACCACGCCCTCATACACTCCCTCAACATATAAAGCCTTGCCCAATACCTCTAGAGTCTAGACTCTGCCTTAAGACACACCCCCAACCTATAGACCACGCCCTCATACACCCCTTCAACATATAATCCCCTATCCAATACCTGTAGACTCCGCCTTAAGACACACCCACAACCTATAGATCATGCCCTCGTGCACCAACTCAACATATAAAGCCTTACCCAATACCTGTAGACTCTGCCTTAAGACACACCCACAACCTATAGATCATGCCCTCGTGCACCAACTCAACATATAAAGCCTTACCCAATACCTGTAGACTCTGCCTTAAGACACACCCACAACCTATAGATCATGCCCTCGTGCACCAACTCAACATATAAAGCCTTACCCAATACCTGTAGACTCTGCCTTAAGACACACCCACAACCTATAGATCATGCCCTCGTGCACCAACTCAACATATAAAGCCTTACCCAATACCTGTAGACTCTGCCTTAAGACACACCCACAACCTATAGATCATGCCCTCGTGCACCAACTCAACATATAAAGCCTTACCCAATACCTGTAGACTCTGCCTTAAGACACACCCACAACCTATAGACCACGCCCTCATACACTCCCTCAACATATAAAGCCTTGCCCAATACCTCTAGAGTCTAGACTCTGCCTTAAGACACACCCCCAACCTATAGACCACGCCCTCATACACTCCCTCAACATATAAAGCCTTGCCCAATACCTCTAGAGTCTAGACTCTGCCTTAAGACACACCCCCAACCTATAGACCACGCCCTCATACACTCCCTCAACATATAAAGCCTTGCCCAATACCTCTAGAGTCTAGACTCTGCCTTAAGACACACCCCCAACCTATAGACCACGCCCTCATACACTCCCTCAACATATAAAGCCTTGCCCAATACCTCTAGAGTCTAGACTCTGCCTTAAGACACACCCCCAACCTATAGACCACGCCCTCATACACCCCTTCAACATATAATCCCCTATCCAATACCTGTAGACTCCGCCTTAAGACACACCCACAACCTATAGATCATGCCCTCGTGCACCAACTCAACATATAAAGCCTTACCCAATACCTGTAGACTCTGCCTTAAGACACACCCACAACCTATAGATCATGCCCTCGTGCACCAACTCAACATATAAAGCCTTACCCAATACCTGTAGACTCTGCCTTAAGACACACCCACAACCTATAGATCATGCCCTCGTGCACCAACTCAACATATAAAGCCTTACCCAATACCTGTAGACTCTGCCTTAAGACACACCCACAACCTATAGATCATGCCCTCGTGCACCAACTCAACATATAAAGCCTTACCCAATACCTGTAGACTCTGCCTTAAGACACACCCACAACCTATAGATCATGCCCTCGTGCACCAACTCAACATATAAAGCCTTACCCAATACCTGTAGACTCTGCCTTAAGACACACCCACAACCTATAGACCACGCCCTCATACACTCCCTCAACATATAAAGCCTTGCCCAATACCTCTAGAGTCTAGACTCTGCCTTAAGACACACCCCCAACCTATAGACCACGCCCTCATACACTCCCTCAACATATAAAGCCTTGCCCAATACCTCTAGAGTCTAGACTCTGCCTTAAGACACACCCCCAACCTATAGACCACGCCCTCATACACTCCCTCAACATATAAAGCCTTGCCCAATACCTCTAGAGTCTAGACTCTGCCTTAAGACACACCCCCAACCTATAGACCACGCCCTCATACACTCCCTCAACATATAAAGCCTTGCCCAATACCTCTAGAGTCTAGACTCTGCCTTAAGACACACCCCCAACCTATAGACCACGCCCTCATACACCCCTTCAACATATAATCCCCTATCCAATACCTGTAGACTCCGCCTTAAGACACACCCACAACCTATAGATCATGCCCTCGTGCACCAACTCAACATATAAAGCCTTACCCAATACCTGTAGACTCTGCCTTAAGACACACCCACAACCTATAGATCATGCCCTCGTGCACCAACTCAACATATAAAGCCTTACCCAATACCTGTAGACTCTGCCTTAAGACACACCCACAACCTATAGATCATGCCCTCGTGCACCAACTCAACATATAAAGCCTTACCCAATACCTGTAGACTCTGCCTTAAGACACACCCACAACCTATAGATCATGCCCTCGTGCACCAACTCAACATATAAAGCCTTACCCAATACCTGTAGACTCTGCCTTAAGACACACCCACAACCTATAGATCATGCCCTCGTGCACCAACTCAACATATAAAGCCTTACCCAATACCTGTAGACTCTGCCTTAAGACACACCCACAACCTATAGACCACGCCCTCATACACTCCCTCAACATATAAAGCCTTGCCCAATACCTCTAGAGTCTAGACTCTGCCTTAAGACACACCCCCAACCTATAGACCACGCCCTCATACACTCCCTCAACATATAAACCCCTCTCCAATACTTGTAGACTCCTCCTACAGACACACCCACAACCTATAGACCACACCCTCATACACTCCCTCAACATATAAACCCTTCCCCAATATCTGTATTCTCCTCCTAGACACCCCCCCAACCTATAGACCACACCCTCATACACTCCCTCAACATATAAAGCCTTGCCCAATACCTCTAGAGTCTAGACTCTGCCTTAAGACACACCCCCAACCTATAGACCACACCCTCATACACTCCCTCAAAATATAAAGCCTTGCCCAATACCTGTAGATTCTGCCTTAAGACACACCCCCAACCTATAGACCACACCCTCATACACTCCCTCAAAATATAAAGCCTTGCCCAATACCTGTAGACTCCGCCTTAAGACACACCCCCAACCTATAGACCACGGCCTCATACACTCCCTCAACAAATAAAGCCCTCAACAATACCTGTAGACTCCGCCTTAAATAAAATAATTCGTTTTGCTGAAATTATGGCAAAGATAAATGTGTATTTAGAAGGTAAATAGGGTCCATTCTGATTTCAGATTGATTTAAACGAGGAAAAAAAAAAACATTAAAAAAATGCTTAAGAAAGTTTTTAAATAAAATAATACGTTTTGTTGAAATTATGACAAAGATAAATGTGTGTTTGGGTCCACTTTGATTTCAGGTTGACTTTAAATGAGAAACAAAAAAAACACCTTAAGAAGTTGTTGCATTTGCTGAAAGAATTTGTTTCTTTGCAATTATGAAGACGACGAAGATTAAAGTGTATTTAGAAGTTAAAAAGGGCCAGTTTTGATTTCAGACTTATTTTAAATGAGAAATAAAGTAAAAATACTACAATCAATCGACACTGCTTCTCAACAGACATTTTTCAGCTGTATATGAAATAGAATAATGTAGGGTGGGACATGCACCTATCCGGCAGAAATGGCCTGGATGGTGAGAAGTGATAATAATGTATATTCTCTCAACTTCCAGCAGACGTGAACTCCGTTTCCCATCATGCATCAGTGCATCCAGACAGTACTCATGTTTTCATGTATTCTTCTGGTTTTGTTCCTCAGGCTCTGACCTCCGGAGGTTTGGAGAGTCTAGCCAGCGTCTGGCGTTTCGTGTCCGTGACGAAGGCAGAGATGGCTGAGGCCCTTCACGTGGATCTCGCCGTGCTGAAGAGGAAACCAGCAGCCGTTCTTAATCAACGTAAAGCACAGTGTGTGCTGAGGAAGAGGAAGATGGCATTACACACTGCCAGGTGTAACGCTCATCAGAAAGCATTAATCAGGACTGATATTACTGTGAGGACTGTTTTATGAGCAAGTGTTCAAACATATCCATATTAAATACATGCATACATCCGTAAAAGGACTGACAATAGGTTGGAGATATATATATATATATATACACTGCCGTTCAAAAGTTTGGGATCAGTAAGATTTTTATTACTTTTTAAAGAAGTCTCTTCTGCTCATCAAGGCAGCATTTATTTGACCAAAAATACAGAAAAAATCTGAAATATTATTACAATTTAAAACAGCTGTTTTCTATTTGAATGTGTTAAACTGTAATGTATTTCTGTGATGCGCAGCTGTATTTTCAGCATCATTACTCCAGGCTTCAGTGTCACATGATCTTCAGAAATCATTCTAATATGCTGATTTGTTATCAATGTTAGAAACAGTTTTGCTGCTTAATACATTTTTTTGGAACCTGTGAGATTTTTTCAGGATTCTTTGATGAATAAAAAGTAAAAAAAAAAACAGCATTTGTTCAAAATAGAAATCTTTTGTAACAATATACACAACCGTTCAAAAGTGTGGGGTCAGTAATTTGTTTTTGTAAAGAAATAGTTTTATTCAGCATGGATAAAAAGTGACGGTACATTGTTAAAAATATTTCTTAACCCTGTTCTTGCCATGAAAATACACCTTTCTTTATCTTTTTCACCTTTTATTTCATTTGTCATCTTATTATTTTATTAATCTGATTTCTGATATCTGTTCTTAATCTCCCTTCAAATGTTTATAAATTTGTTTATATGCCTATTTTTGTATTGATTTTACCTGTTCTTGCCATTAAAATAGGCTACATTTAAAAAAAAAATGTAATTACTCTAATTATTTGCTCATCTTTAAACTTGTTTGTTAATTTGTTACATATATTCTATTTTAACTATGCATGTGTGTGTATCTCTCTCACTTTAAACATGAGTTAATTTGAATCATAGGGTCTCCAAACTGGCTCCTGAGGGCCGCTGTGCTTTAACTCCAACTCTAATCAAACACTAAACTGGTTCAGGTGTGTTTGATTGAACTCTGCAGGACAGCGGCCCTCAGGAGCCAGTTTGGAGACCCCCAGCAGAGGATGTTATATAGGATGACTGAACGTTTCTGAGCTCTCCTGGTCCTCAGAGATCAGCGCTGTGCTTTTATTGGATTAACGTTGGTTAATCCGTGTGCACCGTATGGAGTCTCCGGGACCTGCGTGCAGGACGGTTCTGAATGTTTTCATGGCAGACTCTCCGGTGAGTAACAAATATTCTATAGCTTCATTAACATAGAAATCTACATTTGTGACCCTGGAGCACAAAACCAGTCATAAGGGTCAATTTTTTGAAATTGAGATGTATGCATCAGCTAAA